GCACTTCTGCCGTTGTTTACCTTGACTTTTTTAATGGCCGTTTTCATTTGGTTGGAAATAACTTTAGCAACAGGATGCTATTTACTACAGGTGAATAAGCTGAGGAATGAGGACCTTTTTTTGCCGGAATAGAAAAGGAGAATATTTGCCTACTTTAACGCGTTACTGTTTTACACAGTACCACTCAAATTATTTAACTGTGACGCATCACATCCTTCACATTTTTTGACTTGTAGTCAGACACCAGGACCTGAATATGGAGAGCTGCGTCAAGCTGCCTACAGACAGCATAAACGATACCGGACATTAGATGAATTTCCTTCAAAATAAAGTATCACTTAATTCTGGTAACAGTCATCTATGTTGTTTTGATTAGCCTGCAAGGGTGGCAGCACATAGCCAGGGTATGTTTTGTTTTTTCCAAATCATTTTAAAAAGTCGGGACAGAGGAACCCAAACACTTAAAATATCGAAGTTATTCATCACAGTAAACGCAACAATCTTATGGACTTATGATTTCTTAATATTTTATTTGGGTGGAGTTATAGAGAAACCAAGAGTGACCACATGGTGCTACAGTTATCCAAAGACCACAGCTTAATTGTTAAGTCATATCAATGTCATGAGAGGAGAAAAATGTTTTCCTGGATATTAGTTTTTACTTAGATTATGTAATAATGGTAACAACAATCTTGATAATTATTATAACAATAGATGCATCATTATACAACACATTTCAAACAAAACTATGCAATACGGTGTTCTTCACAATTATAGTCGTAAAATAAAGAAGGAAGCAGAATTATCGTATTATTGATTCTGAACATGTTTATGTGCGAGTAAAGGTGTAAATAAATAACTTTATTTCATGGGCAGCTCTGCATGAACTTTATTTCAAGTTTGTTATGAGTTGTATTAAAATGTTTTCAGTCCAGCATAGAGAACACTGCTATATTGACAATTATAAGTTATTACAAATTCCAACTTTACATTCCCGAATTACATTTTATTTCTAAAATGTTTGTCGATAAAGATTTTATTTTGAAAGCAGTTAAACGGAAAATGTATAGATTACATTCTGAATGACTTAAATCAGACAGTGTCCTGTATCAGTTTGAAGTCTAAAATTAGGGAGGCACCCCAACAGCAAATGACGGAAGAGGGCTAAACTGGACAGTCTACTCGTCTCTGCGTGTCAATGGTAACACGACTCAGGCCATGGAAACGTTCCCTACAACTTTACTGTTGTTGATGACATAGACGTTATTTTTAGATGTTGTCATCTTTCTGTAACAGCACGGCTGCGTCGTTCAGTATAAAGGACTCTCTCAAAATGCAGTTGTACAACAGTGCGCTGACACACTACCCGAAGTCGTCTCGCAAAGTTACAATAACTTTATCGGCCGGGTCTGAGCGTTTGAACGGGACGACGCCAAGTCCCTCTGAGGCTGAGAAACCAGGATTTACACACCCAGGCGCTTCAGCGACCAACGGGGATCCAGTGAGAGAGGCTGCTTCTTCCGCAAACATGCCTGCTTTTTCATGTTATGAAGCTTCGTCTATGAGGCCCGTCTACTTCACATCGACTGCTGAAATACTAATCCGGAGACCTGATGGAGTGGAGAGGTCTGTACCTGTCCATATCATGCGGGAGTCCAAGACCAAACCACGCTCTCCTGAATCACATAATGGTGGAAGTATCCTCTGTAATGACTGTGACTCTGATGTGATTGTGGACTTGATAGATCATCTAAGAAATGGGCCAGGTGAGCTTTTTCCTGACTGCCCAGAGCTGGTTGGAAATCACCTTTTCAACAGGAGCAACATATGTAGACCCAGGATAGAAGGAAAGAAGAGGACGGCTGAAAGTTCATGTGAAGTAGATACAGTTTCAGTGACTAATGCCCCCTTCAGAAGCAACGGATGGGCCTCCTTACATGAAGAGGAGCTAGTTCCCTCCAGGGCAGCTCAGCCTGAAGCCCTCATAAAGGGCGATTTCAGTGATCAGAGTAGTGGCAAAGCTGCTCCAGCATCAAATGAGAGACGGGCCTTTGAGCTCAGTGTTCTCCAGGAGCCGCCTCCACAGAGACGCCAAGAGAGAGAGGATGTCAACGATAAAGTCACACGGTACTTGGCTGAAGTTGAGAAACAAAACCGGTACCTCCAGGAGAGGCATAAATATAGGTACCACATCATTCCAGACGGCAACTGTCTGTACAGAGCTGTGTGCAAAGCCACGTACGGGGACCAGGCGAGGCACGGGGAGCTAAGGGAGCAGACGGTGCACCACATCGCCGACCACTTGGACGAGTTCAACCCCATCATTGAAGGGGATGTAGGGGAGTTCCTGATCAACGCGGCGCAGGACGGTGCCTGGGCGGGGTACCCTGAGCTTCTCGCCATGAGCCAAATGCTTAACGTCAACATCCACCTAACAACAGGGGGTAGCTTGGAGAGCCCCACTGTCTCCACCATGGTGCACTATCTCGGGGAGGAGGATGCTTCCAAACCAGCTATCTGGCTGAGTTGGCTCAGCAATGGTCACTACGACGTCCTTACAGACAAGAGTCTCCCCAACCCAGAGTACGAGGACTGGTGCAGACACTCACAGATGCAAAGGCAGCGAGACGAGGAACTGGCAAAGTCGATGGCGGCCTCGTTATCCAAAATGTACATTGAGCAAAATGGATGTGCATAAAAGTAAAAACTGTTTGTTGAGAGTTAAGAACCTCTCATTCTGCTTAGTTTTCTACATGCTTGAAATTATTTTTATAAGATTTATACAGTGAAAGAAAGGTAGTGCAGTGCACATACTTTGTTTTTTGTATATGCCAGCATTGCCAAATTAGTGGCAGTGGTCTCTGAAAGTGTTTGAAAGAGTGTGAGCCGGTTCTTCTTGTTAGTTTGGGTTATGTTGACATGACTGAAAATCGTCACTGCTGTTCAATTACAGTACATGGAAATGCTTTTAGGTATGCAGTATTTATTTGCCTTTTATTGTCAGACCAGTGCTTTTTCTATAATGTCTGTGCTTTGTATGCCATTTCCTATTACAGAGAAACTTGGTTTGCCATTTTCCACTATAGCTGCATTGTTTGATAACTGTATAGCAACTCTCTTTTGCACAAAGGTCCTATCAGACAAGTCCAGAGAGTCTGATTTGTGACTGTGAGAACAATCCAATGGTTCTTTTTTCTATTATTCCATCTCTTTTTAGGCTTTTGACAAAATATTTCAACATAAAGTTTTTGAGAAACCAGATTGTCTATGATTTTGTGTTTAACTGCTACATGCTCATTGCTTGATAATGTCTTTTGCATAAATTTACACATACATTGTCATCCAGTATCACAATGATAATGCCAGCTACTTGTGTGCAAAATTGTAGCTCCAGCTAGGCATGCTAAATTAAGTGCAGTAGCCTGCGGCCTCTCAATCAGGTCAGCCTGCAGAACTTAGTGAATGAAATGACGGTAGTGTCAGGGCTCTGATCACGAGGGAGATGTGCTGTGTACTATATGGAAGTTAAAAGCTGTGGAGTGCACTGTAATGTCATCGCACACACTGCCACCGGGGGGCAGCAAAAACAAGTTGTGAACACAACATTGACACTGTATCATCACCTTTTAAATTTATATGGCGATTATATTCGAAAACTACTGCTTATTTATACATCCATCAGTTACGGAGCAACAGCTTATGGTCTCTGCTGAGGGAAACATCTGGCTCTTTAGCTGCTAAATGCTCCACTATGTTCACCAGCCAGTCGCTAACTGTGTCCATCTGCTGTTTGGTGCTGAGCAGGTAATGTTCAGCAGGGGGTTCAGAGCTTTTTCTCTGAAAACAGCTGCTTGTTGTAGCTGAAAGCAATGCTATGAGAGCGGCTGAGTGAACCAGAACAGTGAAGTTGCGGCCAGACAGCTAAGCAATGAACTGAAAGTCATTATAAAGCTTCTTAAAAACCAAGGGGAGCTGCAGATTCAGGTGATGGTTCTGTGTAGCCTCATTACTACCAGACCTCTTTCATGTTGTCAAACTGTTTTCACACCTTTATTTGATACATTGTTTTTATGAAAATATCAAGTACAGCCACTTCAATGGCCAGCTTACTCTTTATACAAAGGCTATAGGCTACTTTAGCCTATACAAACTTTTCATAATTTAGTTTTTTTCCTTTTTAGCATTTTTCCTTCCTTTCCTCAACAGGCATCTCTTATGGAAGAGGGACCTGGCGTCATTTATGAAACAGTAAGGTACTACAGCTAGGCCTCATGAAAATGATATTATTCATAGTATTTTGTCCACCCCCTTTCAGACGATATGTCGGATGCCAGTCCGCTGATAACGTTGCACATTTCTTCCATTAGGTGGCATTGTAGCCCCCCATTTGCACTCACAAAGTGACTGTATTAATAAAGGAATTTGTATTTCTTCTCAAACTCATGACAACGTGGGATGCTCGGACCGATGCCCTTCATAGTACTCTGCCTTAAAAACAAAACATGGTTCATGATTAGTAATAGATGATGAACTTGTGAAATACTGTTTTATAAAGTTTTAATATTAAATAGAAGAACGATGCTCTTTTGATAAAGGGATAACTTCCTCATTTAGGTAAAATTCCCAGTTTGGTCCTACAATCTACATTCATAAAATATCAGTAGGCCTATATAGGCTGGTTTTAGAGCCTATATAGTAAACTTTATTATGGAGTTATGATGAAGCTTTACAGTGATGACGTAACCCTGCAGTCATGTGGACATTAGGGAGAAGGAAAAAAAGTTTTCTTCTTTTTTTTAATGCTGGAGGAGAGATAGTGCCTCTCCCTGCTCCACTGTTCCTCGTATGGGCCATTTAAACTATAAGGCTACAGAGCAGAGGGCAGGTGAGAGGATTGGACCGAGGGGGCTGCTTCACCCGCAGTACTGGCACACAGTCAGCACAAACACACAGAGCAGAGGGGAAAGTCAGTGACAGCAGCTCACCGCCGGTGCGTAGTGCGTCTCCGTGAAGGGTTCCCACGCTGCAGCTTCACCACCCGACGCCGCCCCGCCGCGTGCTCGGAAGTTACAGGATACTTTAAAAACAAAACCCGGACAACAGAGAACACAGTCGGCGGTCGCGTGGCTCTGACCTGAGAGGTGACATCGGACATGTCGGGACACCGGGTGCAGTTCGCAGACCTTCCTCCGAGTGATCACAAAGGAAGTCCCAAATTTCAAAGTAAGGAAAATAATTGAGCTGTAGGCTACACTCTGCTGACCCTGATTTCACCAGAAACTCTTCAAGACTAATGTATGTGGAAAAACTTTGGACGTTTTTATTTAATCTCTTTAGATGTCAACAATTCCATAGAGGCTGAATGTTTGTAATCACGTGGGATAAGAGGCAAGCAGAGTTAAAGCTAATTTCACAAATGAAAATCCCAGAGGAATCAGCAGCCTAGCCTATTGGTTTGAAGTAACCGTGATGTAAGTAATTATACACGGCACTTTAGCTGTCTGAAGGGAAACAGTTAAACTCCATAAACCTTGGACTAGATTATTATAGCCTACTTCATTACATGGCACAACAATTTATGATTTAAAAAAAACAGTCAAGGGGGAAAAAGTCCCAGCTGATTTAAAAAAAAGTTTTTCTTAATCATGTCATTCAATTTTCAAGCTTCAGTTATTTATTTGCTGTCTTGTGTTGTTGCTGGTCATGCTGCACATGTGTCATGCTCCTTAAAGGTGACTGGTTTGCGACGCACTCTGCATGTGCAGTGGCGTGATTCAGTCCCCACTTAATACACTTATCTGAAGTGGCAGTTGCCCTTTACTACCGCTGCTAACTTTTTATCCTCATCCTAGTGAGTGTAACATGTCTTAGCGAGGTGATACTCAACCTTGAGATGCATTTAGTGACCGCTGCATCCCGCTGGATCAAAGTGTAACATTAATGGCTGAGCAACACAGTCAGGGCTTTTGTGCTTTTACTGCACGAGTGGATGTTTTTAAAAAAAAAACGGGCTTCTGATTGCATGTGAGGTGCGAAAGTGTCAGCGGTGCCCGCTTCTGCTGCAGTGCATGCACTAAAGCAGGAGCCACAGAGAAGCTGAGCTCATCTCCATGGTAACGGGTTGAGTGACAGGACACGTGAGCAAGGACGCAATGGAAAATTGCCAGTTTGCTGCAAAGCCCTCCAGAGGAGTGCATCTACAGTACACTCTGATTCTGTAACAGTGCAACAGTGCAAGTTTGTGATATATTCCTATCCATGATGGCGAGATGTTCTGGCAGGTTTGTGTGTTTTGTCTCAGTAAGTCAATAATACGCAAAGGGGCAGCAGGGTGAAAAGGGCTGATGTTGGCAGTTCAAGCTCAGGTTGTATGGGAGGCATGCTGGGTTGGTGTGTGGCAGGACAGAAAGGCAGCTTCAGCAGCAAAGACACATTCTGACTCAGCCCATCCGTTTCTCCTGCTGCCCAGATTCAAGTGACAGCCGGGGTCAAGTTTCATGTCTCTTCTCTTTCTCTCTCTCGCCGATGGACACACTCACAAAAACACACACAACGCTTAACAATGCTTTGTTCAAGGCTCAGGGATAGATCGCCAAGTTTTAATACTCATTCACTCATCATGTTAGATACGTGAAATACAAAAGAGTACCTGTGTGGCAACACAACAGTGGCTCATCCATCACTTCATTCATTTTCAGACTGCTAAAACAGCTAATGGTTTTAGCGTCACCTTGAGGGAGTATCTATATCAGATATGAAGAGGGAAGCCAGGCCTGATAGAGCACTTTTGGTGGTGCTGTTCATTTTACTTGAGTTCTATGTAACATCTATGCTGTGACATTTTAGAAGAGACATGGTCATTGTTGTGGCGCTTCCACACTGGACTTCTGTCTCGAACAATGTACTGCAGTACTGTGACAGAGTTAGGGTGTCTGTAGCCATGGTGGCAGTCGCTGCACATGGGAACTACCAACTTTTCGTCGCTGGCACGGAAAAACACATTTGTTTCTTTGTGCAAGAGGAGTAGGTTTCCCAGGAAAGTAAAACAAAAGTAAAGGCTTCCAAGAACAGGTTATATGTCTAATTTTGTGATGTGCCCGTTGCATAGCAGCAAAAGCAGGAGGATTAGATACAAGTGTGACAGATAATTGCTTTAACCTTTCCTGCCTCAGTCTGCATTAAAAGCTGTTTTGTAGAATTAAGGAGACAGAGTAGTTGTGAGCAATAATGCCTGTTTCTTAGTTATTCTCACCTGGTGGTGCTGGGGGCCCTAGTTGCCATCATCATAACTTGCAGTCTACTTTAGATTTTACATTTAGATATAGGAATTGAGATTAGTTGTTGCACCTTCTTACAGTGAGGTGGACATAGGCTTTATACATGTGTTCTTTGCTTTGAGAATGGCTGTAGAGCTGCACATTCATTGAGTAAAAACAGTCATGCGTCTTTCAGCAAGCTGCTTTGCTTCCCAGACAGCTGCACTCTGAGCCATGACGTTCATCATCTCAGGTTTTCAGCGATATGTGAAGATTCTATCAACAGTTTCTGGAGGAAGGATAGGCTGTCTTGATTGGGTGGCTGAACGAAGATGTTGCCCATCAGTCTGGTATCTCATATTCTCATGAAGAGAGGGTGGAGCAATTTAACAACCAACCCAATCACTAACTTGATCTTAACAGGGAACATCTTAAAGCTCTCCTTGGTTTGCTCTCTGCCAAGACGTTCTGTTAACTGATGTTGTTAGTATTGTTCATTCCACAGGCCTTTCTCCATTAATTCAAGTCTGTCATGTCTCTTTGTGCATGAGCCAATTTAATCAAATAGACTTGTTGTGAGTCCAAGTTTTCTCATTAATTCCACGGCACTTTTTCAGTCTCACTTTCAAGAGCCATCTGCTTCTAGACTATCATACCACAGTGAGATGGGACGTCACTTTGCTTTTATACACATGCATTGTCTATGTATCAGATAATGTGATAAGAGATAATTTGACAATGAAAATGTTTGTGTAGATATCTTTTGGCATTTTTGTCTGCAAATTGTACGCACATAAGGTAATAGGGAATAAAAGGACACCTGACTTAGAAGTGTGACCTTCAAGCAGAAGAGAATAATTGAACGTAATGATGGAATATACTTGAGAATAAAGAATAAGAAATATGCTTAAGCACTCAAACTCATTTATTGTGGTCAGTATCTAATTCCAAGCATTCTGTGTGGTATTGAGAAGGATTGACTGGGAGTGTCAGCTCACACCTGTCCAATGAGCAGCTCTAGTGCCCTCTCATCTGAATGCTGCAATAAATTTGATATTTGCACACGTTATTTATGATGACATTTTCACTGCACAGCAACACAAAAAACTTGTTTGTGCAACACTTCTGCTCTGCTCTAGTTAGAACGTGTGAATATTTACAGATTGCAGCTTTCAAGTAACACAGCTGGGTGGTATCTTGGGTGTTTTTAAAAATGAATGATATTTGCATATTCAAATGCAATACCTTGCCTGACCTTCCTTTATGAGAAGATCATGAAGTGCTATACAAGACAAGAATCAAAACAAAGCTAATGAACGAACAGCCTATCAAAATGACTCCATCAGCTTATCACTTATCAGTGTCCCTTTGTCAGGATGTTCAGGAGAAACAACAAACATGGCTGCATGCTATCATACTCCTAGTCCCTGTGTGATTGTGAAATGGCAAATTATGTGTTGGAATGATAATCACAGAAAGGGCGTTTTTAACACCTCAGGAATGCACATGGTTTCTGTGCCGGTGTCAGGCTTTAGAAACCAGGGCCTGTTTTCCCATCTTATAATTCTCCGTGAAAACAAATCAAGTGGTCGTGAAGGTGAGCATAAAGCACGGCCTTAATTTCCTATGACATATTTTCTATACATAGTTCACTCACTGCTATTAATGTCATGTTCTTAGTGAGTTTCTGTCTGCTCGCGTAAGGTGTGAAATGCCATGTTTGGTAGGCTCTCTGTCCCATTGAAGATGCTGATCACATTGGATAGGCACTTGAGATGGTCCTCCTGGAAATAGCCAAGCCCCCTGAGACGCTCAACAGCTGTTTTCACAGCGGATTAAAAGCCTTTCCCTTAAGGGCTCTCAAGTTCCCGTGGAGTTTAAAACACAAAGATTTAAGGGTACTCTGTGGCCTTCTCTACCGAAGAGTAATATGCTGCTGTTGTTTTTCTAGCTTTAACTGGGGATGTCGCTCTCTGATAAAAGGCAGTAACCTTGAGTTGATATCCACTTTGTTTTTTGTTGCTCGAATGCTGAGCATACCTTCAGGCATGAGACTCCAGTAAATCACAGAGCCTGTCTGCATGAGGTCTGGTTGCAAAAATATTTGAATGTAATTATATTACCAATATTTTTTTCAGCTTTTATACATATTTATTGAAGCCAGTGTTGATTCATTATTTTACTGTAGTTTCTTTGTTGAGGCATTGAGTTTGTTGAGACTATTGAGCTAAAGGTCATTGTTGATAGTGAAAATGCAAATCAGAAAGCTTACAGACATTTCAGAAGAGCCTAATATACTGTAGAACCATCTTTTAAAATATATTAGTATGTGTTTAATCTCCGGCACTCACATTTCATCCATTTTCTGCTGACCTTTTCATGTCTTGTCAGGAACTTGATTCTCTATATTCGACTTTTAATGTTACTCATGAAGGCGAAAGCACTTGGCTATTTTTTGGCCTATTCTTGAAAAAACACTGCATACTATTTTCTCCTGACATTTTGTTCCTTCATCAAACATTTGGGAGAAAGGAGAGTTAACATAAAGGTCGTTCTCGAGAAATGAAGACAAAGGAGGATGGTATTTGGTAAGACCAACAAAAATAAAGATGAAACATCACATTATTGCATTAAGAGTGTAACATACTGTACAGTATATGGTATCATGGGCTAGAATTACTCCTGGTTGAGTCATCATCTCTGTCTCAATGAATGGCTATACTCTGTGTGCCTAATGAATTATCCACCCTCTCCTGACCTCTCTGTCTCTTCAGCAGCGGGATGCCGGCCCTATGTGGAGCAGAGACAGATGTTTTCCTCGTCTTTTATTCAGTTTTTTTCTAATTGATTCCCCCTTATGAGTTCCTTCCTGAAGAGGACACGCTGAAGTATCTGCAAAACTGCAAAGTAAAGCAATGCATGATGTCAGTGCAGACTTTCACCACCTCTTATGTGAAGAACAGGGAG